GTGGCCCAAAGACTTAAGATGCTTGGCTGCTAGCCCAAAGGTTTGAGATTCACGCCACCCAGAAGTGTCTTGGAAGAAAGGCCTGGTGATCTGCTCCTGAAATATCTGCTGCTGAGAAACCTGCGGAGCACCGTTCAGCCCTCGCACACTCGAGGTGGTCAGGAGCTGGCCAGTCAGCTACTGGCCCCCCGTGGCATAAATGGCACTTTGGAGGAGCAAGGCGAAGGACGCACAGGAAGGCTGTGCAATCCAGGGAGTCAGGGAAGGCTTCCTGGACAAAGGGGTAGCTGAGTGGAGACCCAGAGAGTCCGGAGTGTGTGACGCAGGGAGGGGAGGGCTCCAGAGCAGTGTGCAAGCAGAGACCCAGCAACGAGGGGCGCGGTGGGCACCCGGAGGCCCACGAGAACCCACGCTGGCTACAGCAGTAAGGAAGACTTGGGGAGGGAGCCTGCTGCTCAGATCAGGCTCTGTGACTCCTTCCCCTACAAAGCCACTGCACCTGAACTCCACTGCTGTGATCTCAGGCCGCCCTGTCCTTCATGGCAGGCCAGGAGTCAACGTTCCCAAAGTGCTGGCAGCTGCCGGCCTCAGACACCTGCCTCCCTGCTCAGCAGTTGCATCCCCCTGCTGGGTGCTTGAGCTTGGCTGCTCATTCCCCACGTATACATCAAAAGTGGACCCAAGCAAGAGCACCTCCCTCCCCCAGGCTCCCAGCTCCCCAAATGTCCTGTGCACACAGAATGTGCCTCCTTGCTGAGACGTGTGGTTTTAAGTTCCCCTAATAAAGCCCACTTAGTTTCTCATATCAAGTTACATTTAGTCTTTCCCCTCCCCTGTGAGGGCTCATCAGCTGGTTAAGCTTGGGGATCACGTGACCAGATTGATGTTTCCAAAGGCCTTCCTGGCTGGCTGCTGCAGGAAGAATGGGCTGTAGGTGGAGGACAAGAGAAAAATGGCCATCCGCGGAAGAAGGAGAGGTATGGGGTGTGGGATATGGGGTGTCAGGTATGGGGTGTGACAGTCTCACTCTCATCCTTCTGAGCCCAGAACCCAGCCTGCCTTCAGGGAGTGGCATGCAAACAGGGAGGGCAGGGAAGGGATAAAAATGAGCTGAGACCAAGAGCTCAAAAAGAAGGAAAATGTTTTGAAAACGATGATGACAACACATGTACAACGGTGCTTGACACAATTATTCTATGTATGGATTGTGGTAAGAGCTATAAGAGACCCCAGTAAAATGATTGTTTTAAAAGGAGCCATGAAACTATCAATGGTGGCCAGTGGGGGCAGCTGAGAGGTTAGGCCAACCTGGGCCAAACCTGGAGAGGGGCGGGTTAAAAGGCAGGAGGGTGCGGACGGGGGGTGGGGAGTGGTGGGGTGTCACAGTTAGGAAACCTGCCACTGCCACAGAGTGACGGGAAGGCCAGGGGTTCCCCTAGGCCCACACCTTAAATCTAGTTCAGCTTGGCCAGTAAGGGCAAGGAGCACCCTTGGTGCTGGTAGGGAATGGAAGCTGAGGCTGCTCCCATAACCCTCTGACTCAGCCAACCGCAGGTTCCAGGCAGAACAGCTACCACACAGGCTGCAGTGCAAAGGTGGGGAACTCAGAGTCTACCAAGGGATACGAGGCGGCATACAAAAGGGGTGAGAGGATGAATCAGGGGCCCAATGCCCAGGGTTGTAAAACAGCCAAGGGATCTCAAAAGACCTTCGGTGTGGTCGTTCAGGGCTTTGGCATTAATTGAGGGCACTGCTCTAGCTTGGGTGCCTGGGTGTGTGGGTTTTCCCTCATCCATCTACCCACCTGTCAGATGTCTTCTTGTGGACCCATTCCTGCTCTCCGAATCATCAGGTCAGAAGGGATAGCAGCGTCACAATAAAGGTGAAATAGAATGAACTTTCTGTTGGCTCATCATTCTTCCCAGAAGAGATTAATAGTTGAACATTGCGGTGGAGAAAAATCGCTATGATGGCACTTCTGCCCACATCTTTGTAATGCCCGATGACTGAGTGGGATTCTGCCCACAGGGCGTGTGCACAACACTGACAGAGAGGCTTGGTCCACTTGAGTTCTATAGGACGAGCCATCTTGGAAAAGCAGAGGAGAGAAACCCTGAGGCCCTTGGAAGAGCCCATTCCAGGTCTAAGAAGTGGTAGAGGCCACCGAGACCAGATGCCTCAGAGACGGTAGACGGCGACTCGGAGGAGCAGTGCAGAGACAATGGGCAGAGACAATGGGGTACCTTCTCCTCATCTGGCCTGAGACCATGCAGCTGTGGGACAGAGTGGGGAGCAGGCTGGCTTCCTAGTTCATGGAGGCAGAGGCCAAAGCACCAGGTGGCTGCGAGGCTGAGAACCAGAGAGACACTTGACCGCTGGCTGAGAAGACCAATGACTGCATTCTTCCTGTGTGCTGACCTTGACGTGTGGTGACTGATTGCCTTCCCTAAGAAACCCTCTTCACTGCCAGGATGGTCTAGGAGCTCTGTGTGGCTGTTGCAGTGAATTCTCAACCCTAGCTGAGATGGCCACAGATGCAGTGTAGAAGCATATAGCTGACTTAAAGCGGAACACACCCTCGTGTTCAAAAGTAAGCTGGTGCACCCCACTTCACCCCTCCTATGAGTAAGGTGACCAGATTTTAACATTGGTAAAGTGGGACACCATTGACTGGGGGGCTGGGGGGTGGCCGGTTCTTGATTAAAAGTTTGGTCTATTCCATTTTGCCGCCGCTATAAAATATAAATAATACGAGTACTGTCTGCCAAATTCAAGAAAATTTATGTATTTATGAAATAAATAAATAAATTACTTACCTAAATTATCTAAATAGCT